TAATAAGTTTAAAATTTTTTATAATATTTTTTTTTTTAATAATGCATTTTAAAACCTTATTCGATCACATTTGAACATTTAATCAACCATATGTTCAACCCTTTCATCTATCGTCTTGGGCGGATCCCCATATAGCCTAGGGTGGGCCCACCCTCAAAGAATAAAAAAAAGTCTTTATGGAGGTTAATTTGGAGTTTTGACCACCCTAAAAAAACTATTTTGCCCGTCACTTAGGGATAGGAAGAAGCATTTTTTTGGGGGGGAATTGGATAGGAAGAAGCATTGGCTGAAGACAACACAAAAAGGTAATATACTTACTTTCTAGTTTGTATAAATATGAGTGAAACTTTATCCAATGGAAAAAAAAATGTCTTATGATTTATAAGTTGGGTTTAAATGGAATTCTAATAAATAAGAGAAAAAATTTATATTTTGTATACAAATAAATCATATGTTTTGTTGGCTATTTTCTTAATTATTTTTATTGCATTGCATTAATATCAAGTTATTTTTTATTGATTTATGATCTGTACTGGAGCGATTGTTAAATCCATTAAATATTATGCATAATTTATGGTTTAATTCTATTTTTTTTTCTTAAGTTAGATAACATTAAACTTATTTATTATTTTTTTCTCTAAGTTAGAAACTTTTATTTGGTCAGGTAACCTGACGTAGCTCTACGTTCGGACGCTAGTGAAATAGTGTCACGTGTTCTTACTCTTTACTGCGCGGCCCGACAACCCGATCCGGAACGGACCCGGGATTGATAAGTTCGTGTATTGCTAGGTATTGCTCTGTATTGCTAGGTATTGGTCGATTTTGCTCGGCAATAACGAGAAATATCATTCTGTGAAGATCAATACCGAGCAATACCCGGTTTTGTTAGGTATTGCTCAGTATTGGCCTTGACAGAGCGGTATTTTTTGTTATTGCCAAGCAATACATAACAATACCGAGCAATACGTGAACATAGCAATCCCGGGTTCCTGTCCGAGTCGGGTCTTCAGGCCGCGTGGTAAAGAGTAAGAGCACATGGCGACATGTTATGGGAGTCCGAATGTAAAGCTGTGTCAGGACACTTGACCTAATAATTGTTCCTAAGTTAGGGTTTAGCTTCAGCATCACATATATGATTATATTCCAACTTATATTATTACTAAAATCAATATTAAATTGGAAGATAAATAAGAAAATTTTCTCTTATAAATTTGATAATATTATGTTGGTTAAATTATTTTAAAATGTTTATTTTATTATTATTACTATTTTATGTTTTATTATTATTATTATTGTTATTGTCGTCTAATTAATTAAATTTTTATCCACTCTGAAAAAGGAAGCTGGATCTGCCCCTATCTTTCGTCAAGTTGTCTTCGATTCAAATAAGATTCAACTATTTATAAAAAATAAATATTTTAAGTACCTTACTAGAATCTATTCAAATACTTAATTGAACCTATGTTCTATCATAGCAATTTATTTTTGATGAAAAGGTCGAACATATATTCAATTCAGTGTTCAAATAAATTTCAGCTATCTAATAAGTCTTATGAATAACCTATCAACCGTATGCGAAATTTGCTCGAATTAATATTGATTTGAAAGAAAAATTTAAATTTGAGGGCATATAAATTTAAAATTTTCCTATTAATTGACAAAGTAAGATGTAAATTTTGGAAAAGACTCGCAACACGAGAATTTTCAACGCCAGTCATCTAGTTGTTTGATTGAGCCGCCCATGTGAATAATGAATTTTAAAAATAGGAGAGAATTTGCATACGCCAAAGGGCCAAAGGGCCAAAGGCATTATATTTACACATTTAACCTGAAGTATATATAACATATTTACAATCTTGCACTTGGACGGCAAATTGAAAATTGAAAATTGAAAATTGAAAATTGAACACTTTAATTTGCTGTATTACAAACTAGTTGGGTTCGCTAGGCTTGATTAGACGGCAATTGGCAAAATATGCTGGCGCTTATCTACTAGAGACATTGAAAAATAAGAAAAAATAATGAAAACAAACAGCCTATTTTGCCGGATTACAGCCTAGGCTGTTGTTACTTGTTACAACTTGAATCGACGAAACCCACAGAACTTTTTTTTTTTAATTAACTAAGACAAATTAATACACACGTCACAAACACAAAGACTCAAACCCAAAAACTATTGATTGGCATGGGCGGAGAGAGGGAGGGGCAAGGGGGGGCACGTGCCCCCCTAAAAAAGCTGATTTATTTCAATATAGGGTCTCCAATTTCAGCCCTCACGGGCTTTAAAGCTGAACAAATGCAGTTTTGGCCTAGTCTTTTCTTCTCTTGGAAGCAGTAAATCATCCATTTATGTCATATTGGGACATTTTTTTTTACTTTTTTTTTATTTAACGATATTTTAGATAAACAAACTTCTACCAAATAATGAATCTGTCATGAATCATTTTTTTTAATTTAGTACTTTTTTCTGGACAGTTTTTGTTCAGATTTTTAATCTGTGATTAGAGAAAAAATTGACTTCCTAATGAAAAATGAAGTTTATATTAATTTTTTAGTCATATTTTGTTTATCCTTTTATGAAATTGAATTGTAATTGATAGGCTCTTGTGGTGTTTGATAAAATGTTTCTTTGTCAAAATACTGACTAGATTATTACTTTCTTGTTTAGATAATCCAAACTGACAAAAAATTTATAGAAAGATATTTTAAGAAGTTTTTAAAATCAAGCTTATCGATGACTTTAGGTGAGAAAAAAAAAATGACGAAGAGCAAAATAAGAAAAGAAGTTGCATGGTAAAAGAATTATCAAAAGATTTTGAAGTAGATTTAAATCATCCATCTGATTATGGTTTGCGAAATCCTATTAATGAATAGATTTCTAATATTCAATACCAAGTTTGAAGGTTGTACTTGCATAGCGGTCCATGTCTCCCACGCAATCAATGATTGGTAGCTAAAAATTCTTAACGAATAGATCAAGATGAGTTGTGTCACATCAAATTTTCTGAATAATGTTATACTTAAAAATTTGTACATTAAATTTAAAAGATTTCACATAAATTAAGTGAATTTTTATGACCACATTTTCATTTTCCAGTTCCTATGAAGAGAGCATTTAAAATTAGTTAGACAAATTTGTTTCAAAATTTATAGCATTACTTTTAGGCTTCGCCTGGGGCTATTTTTTGTTATTTTTTAAAGCAATTTTTTTTTTTAATTTTATATTAAAATTTACTTTAGAAAATAATAAAAAGTTTTCTGAAATAAAGCCATAGTAAAATGCAGTGGCATTTAGTTTCAAATAAAGGTTCTTTTGTTTTATTATTATTAATCTATGATATATTTGAGTTCTAATCTACTCTCCACCTCTTATATGAGAGAGTCCAAATCTACACTCTCATATGAGAGTCCAAATATCATATCAATGTGTCAATGTGCCCATCAAACCTACTCACCTCACTTAACCAAAAGGCTCAACGCTCCATGCATAAATAAATCACTTAATATAATTTTTTAAAGTTCAAATTATTATCCCATCCCTTGGTCCTTATCAATGTGTCACACAAATTTAGGTTTTGTTTGAGACAACTTTTAACCATTGCTTTTTCTCTGTTTTCCAGATATTTTCGTAATAAAAAATAACTTTACAAAGCAGTAAGAAAGCCAGCTCTAACAAAGCCTTAATGCCATCATATGAAACAATGCAACCGTTTATCATGCCACTATATAAGATAGAGTTTAATTTTGGTGAATAACATGCCATCACATATTATATTAGGAATTGATCAACACTTCATATGTGCTACTATTTTATGCTCTATGTAAGTGGCTAATAAATAAAGAGAGAAAATAATGAAACAAGTGTGTTTCCTTATCCTCTACAATAATAAAGAAAAGCTTTCCTAAGGTCTACAATGTCTTGGGTGTAGTCCCCATTAGTTGTTCTCTCTAATCAGATAACAACTTATTTGAGATGTGATGCCTTTTAGCAATTTATTTTAGTCCATATGAATCAAATCCTTTAGCTATAGGGGATGCTTACTTGTGGTCTATGATTTGTAACCGGAGTCCCCATGAACCTCATGGAGGCCTTAGACTCATGGTGTTTAGGGTAGGCTTCAAATGAATCCCTATTAAAATGATCATAATATTGTGATGTTTAGGTGCATGTAAAATACAATAAGAATATAAGTGAGACAAAGATTATTCATGCCCAAACACGAAAAAATGATCAACCATTGCCCTAATATGAGCCCTGATAGAGCTCGCCGTTGAGCACAAATGTGAAGTAATAGCTTGACTTACAAGAACTCCATCTAGCGACAAATCAAGACCCGGAAAGAAGAAGGGTCAGTGGTGGACATTTTTGAAAGTCGGGCCTATCGTGTGTCTTCATTCAAGAGATGATACAAAACGAAGTGAGAGGCCGGGGTAGAGAAAAGGGTCAAGTTGATCAAATTAGACGATCGGGAGAAGCAAAACGAAATCAGTATTTGACCATAGATAAATGAAATTAAATTGAAATAGAAGAAATTTTTAAAGATTTCTCATCTTATTTGGTGTAATGAAACTCTTCATTTCCTAGTCTTCTCACAACCTCTAAGCTCTTAATTTATACTTGGACTCCCTCAAAATCAATCATATCTCAGGCGAAGTCTTCTTCGAACATTTCAAACATGACATAATAACGAAAATAATATGCGACAAAATTATTATTTAAAAATATATTTTATATTTAAGCCAATTAAATAAATCATAAAACAGTTTTTACTAAATTTTAAATTGCGTCCAAATAAGTACCAAATGCATTTTAAATGAAAATATTTACATTATTAAAAAAAGATGAAAATTGGTTTAATACCTTAATCAAATTTTAATCCAAATCTGCATGTGGTTAGGGGTGCAAGTGAGTCAAAATGACTTGTAAGCCGGCTCAAGCTCGACTCCATAAATGACATGTAATATTACTCATTTAAAAAATAGTAATATTTATACGTCACCAAAAATTGTCATGAATCTCGAGGCATATTCAAGCTGAATTTTTTTGAAATTAAATGTGGAACCATCCAAAGTCCAATTTCTGCAAACTTATAATCAATTTGAACGACTCAACGAGAAGAACCGAACGACACCAAAATTTGTCTAATCCAAGCTCAAATAGGTCCAAATCAAGGGAGCGAAACACATTTGAAAGCTTAAGAGCATTAATTGGATGACCAAATGATATCCAAATATAATATGCTTATAGTTGAATCGACTGGCTCAACTAGATGAATTCAATGAGCCCAAGATCGCTTAATTTTGATATCATTATGACATTTAAATGTTTGATGAACATTTTATAATCGAGAGAATCGGTATTGGTCGTTTGATGGAGCGCTCTAAATTGGTCATTGATCTTCTCCAAATTACTAGGCATGTTTCTATCAAAATATATAAATATACACTATCTTCCCACATGAAAATAGGGCTTAGACCTTTGGTAGCTTGGACCCCTTGGCTGGAGATTGGCGATAGTTATTAGGTTTCAAGGATCCTAATGCTCTACCCAAGTACCACCACTAGCGAACTTCCGTCAACCATCACTAGACCAACGCCCGTCTGCTGACCATCGCAAAACCACCAATTGTCTATCGACTATTACTGGACCTCAGGCCGGCAGCCCATCGTCGTCGGATCTCCACCCGTTTGCCTGCTGCCACCTAGCAACCTACTGCCACCGGACCTCCACCCATCCACCGACTTCCATAGGACCTCCGCATTGCCGCTAACTGTCGCCAACCATCGCCTGACCTCTGCTTGGTCACCGATTGTTGTTGGACCATGACCCATCCATTGTTGGACCTTCATCCGCCAGTTGATCGATGCGGGACCTCAGCCCAACTATCATCGACAACCACTCTAACCAGCATCGCCCACCTACTATTATCCCTCTAACCTCCGTCGTTTGCCTACTACGATCCATATGACTTTCGTCGCACGCGAACTGAGGTCCCTCCGACCTCCATTGCCTAACAACTACGATCCCGTCAACCAAAACTAACAAATTAACACTCTCTTGAGAACAACTATCATATCAGTAAATTCTCCCAACTCCCACCATGTAATGTGTTATATATGATGTATTTGCTATATCTAGTCAAGACATTTCCCCCAATGAAGGACTTCATTTGTTATCAACAATATGCACGAATAGAATCATTTTTACTAGGTTAGACCATATGTTTTTTTTTCTTCTTTTAAGGAGCTTCCATATAACATTTTTGGTGTTTCTTATGACTCTTGCACCTTTCCCTAACTATATATCTTTCTACCATTGCAAATATTTTAGGACGCAATAAATATGAAAACATTTAAATTATATATATCATATTCATAATTATAAGTACAAAAATATTGAAAATATTTAAAGATTATATCTCACTTTCATATATAAATAATAAATTATTATTTATCTTCTAATTTTGTATTAATTTTATTATTTTATTATAATAATTAGTTGGAAGCCTAAGCTTTCAACCAATAGACCAAAGAGAGTTGTGTGTAAAACAGTTTTCTAATCCAGGGGAGAAAGAGCTGGCGTCTGCTGGCGGCTGGTTTACGAGTGGCCCGCAGCCGTTACTTCTGCTCTCGGCATCCTTAAGGCGGCCCACGCCATCGGATATCCACCATTGACGTCCTTTTTAACTCTAGACTCTTCCGTCATCACGCGTTCCATTTCTCTCCTATCCTCCTCTTAGATCTTTGGGAGAGAGGAGAGATAGGAGAAGACGATTAGGGTCAGCTCGATCTCCCTCTCCCAAACCTTTCAATTTTCAAATCAAGCCTCGTGATTCGCCATCAATGGACTCGTCGGAGAACCGAGCGGACTACGACGAAAGTTTGCCAGAGGAGGCAGATCTCATGTTCGATAAACGCGGCTGCTGCTGCTTCGTCGCTCCGTGGTCTCGCCGGCGCACATCGGCTTCCACGTCGGCCGATTGGTGGGAGCGGATTCAAGCATCCGATCGCTCCGGCGCCACCGGGTGTTTGACCGAGGCGTCGTTGAAGATCCGGGATTGGTCGGAACTTATCGCCGGACCGCGGTGGAAAACCTTCATCCGACGATTTAATAAGAACTCTCGGCATCTGGGCGGCAGCACGAGGCTCGGCGTGAGGTTTCAGTACGATCCCCTTAGTTATGCCCTCAACTTCGACGAAAGCCCCGACGCCGACGCCGGGTTCCGTGACTTCTCCTCCCGGTTTGCGGCGCCGTCCTTGTCGATGAAGTCATCGATGGATCTCGGCGGACGAGACGCGCCGCCACTGTTTGCTACCGCATCTGCCGTCCCCGCGGACGCCACCGCTCTACGCTGATTGATCTAGCGGCAACTGAGGTAACAGACGCCAGTCGGGTCTTTTGGTAGCAAGGGAGGTCCAATGGTTCTGGTTAATGGTCTATTAGAATTATTAAGCTGAAAATTGCTGCCATTGATTATGCTGTTCGATATTATATTATTTATTGTGACTTTATTTTAATTATTTATTTTGATCGAAAGTAGAAGCGGTTGTGATCCTGTTTTATACTTCTAATTATGCTTGTGAGATCTTATGTATTCATAGCAGTGAGGAATGGAAAGAGATTAATTTATTGTGATTAAGCTACAAGATAATTGTTTTTATTGAGCAAAATATTTTGATTGTTGTTTTATAAATTTTAGAAACAGCTTTCTATTTAATCAAAATGCTTGCAGTTCACAAAAAAAAAAAACCACCTTTGCAAAATTTTCATTTAGGATGATTGTGAAACAGTCATATTGGCATTTAACAGGCCTAAAATCAATTTCCTATTGCTAAACTGAAGAGCAAAGAATTTGTTTAGAATTATACTTCCTGATTGAACGCTGGAGTGATTTACAAACGTGGACGTGTAATCTTTTCATATAATTTTTTCATGCTGCAAATATCTGAAATTGTTCATTTATCACTTTCTTAGTAAATTGACTGGGACAATCACAATAGTGATTCAGCTAATACTATATGGAACTGTGTTTCTTGATATATTTATCGAAGTTTTCATCTGCATTTTTATTATAACCTGTGGTTTATTCAGAAAAAAGTGAAATTTTGAACAGAACCTCTGTAATTTGATGAGGATGCAAGATATTTGAGAGAAAGCAAATGAGCGTTTTTGAGAGAAAGCAAACTAGCAATGGTAAAAGAGAAAAATTGTTGATTTCTGTTGTGGTTACAGGAAAATTCAATCCATTAGGGCTTCAAAGTTGGAGCACTAGTAAGCTTCTCTATCTTTCCCTCACTTGAATTTCATACACAAAATCTAGTCATGTGAAAGGTGCTCTCTAAACTGTAATCATTTTACTGTGGGCATTGAGAAATTTAATCATAATTATTAGAAATTAATAATTGATGTGCTCAAATTCTCACCTTCATTGTTTAGAGCATCTCCAACCGAAAATCTAATTTTCACTAAAAAATGTAGTGAAACTCAAAAATATTATGATTCATCCTCCAATCGAACTCCATTTTACGGGCTTCTATGAAGGTAACCGTCTTTCTCCTCTTTGATGTGTTTCTTCGGCAAATCCGATTGAGACAGAAAAATCGCCTTGGTGAACAGTGCAATGCCACTGTTCACCCGCAAGCAAATAGCGGAAGCTTTGGCGTTCCGCTGGAGTGACCGAACGATGCCATACACATGTTTGACGTTTGGTTGGAGATGCTCTTAGAGAGCTAAGGATCCAAACACAAAGCCTAGGACCCTTATGACATGATTGTATTTCTTCTCCGCATTCTTTATAACTTTGTTTATAGATTTAAGCTAGTTGCACAAGCAGAACTTAGTGCATGTCAGAATATAGAGGTATGGTTGTAGAAATTCATATCTCAATTACAACTTTGAAGTCATTATGAATTTCAGGTGGCTCAAATTTGTTTAACAATGCCCAATTTCGCTTGGTTCAACTAAATTAGCTCTTAAGCAAGCTTAGACTAGTGTTATAGTCCCTTAAATGATCTAGTGCACTGTGCATTTGGCATCATGGAGTCTACAGATGCGCAAACTAGCCAGCCAAAGTTTGAATGTTCTTGAAGTAGCTTAACAAAGTTAAACTGGCCTATGCTCCCTTGAGCAATATTCTCATTGTTACTGCCACCACAGAGGACCTAAATGCCAATATAGCCATTCCCCTTAGATTCATCCACTAGCGACAAGTACATTTTGGGCTGGATATTATAAAATTTGTTCTGAAATGTTCATATTCAAATCATTGGCCCTCTGCTCACTATTTTGTGATTCGCTTATCTCTAAGTGCTCATTTTGGGGGTGGAGTTGTGATTGAAGGTGATCCCTCACCTAAAGTAGAATTCTGGTTTAGGCAAGTGGAGGGGGGAGCGGTTGAATTGGGGATCTTGGGGGCTTATTTTTGTGAAGGCTTTAAATAAGAGAGAAAGGGGAGAGTTAGTGTTATGTTATTGTTTTGCAAGAGTTCTATTTTTCGTAGTGTCTTGTTGCTTGGTCTCTAGCGACGTCTTGAGATTTAGGAGAGATCGGTCCTCCTCTCAAATTGAGGATCAATTGTATCTTGCTTCTTGTTATTTATTTTTCTAGCAATAAAATTTATTTGTGCTGAATTCATCCTATTCGTGGGCTATTTTTGATACCAAGACATATCATTGATTTAGTAGGCTAAACCATGGGCAATCATCATCCAATCAGATTTAGTTATACAAGGAATCAATTTCTATCATCTATTGTGAATAAACATAAATAATATTTTAGATAAGGACAAAAAAATCTCAAGAACAATAACAACAAGCCTTTATCACGATACGTGGGGTCAGCTATATGAATCTTTGGCCGGCTATATGAATCTTTTTTTCTCATTGTGTCCTGTTAAGTCAAATGCTCTTTTAAATCTAATAAGAAAATGTCATTTCTAATATTTCCTAATCATATTTTTTAGGTCTACCTCCACCTTTCTTAACATATGCTAGATCTAATACATCTACTCTCCTAATCGGATCATCGAAAAGCTTATGTTTTATGTGACCAAATAGTCTAAGGCAACTCTCTCTAATGTTATATGCCACTAGAGCTAATCAAATATTTTCATATATATACTCGTTTCACATTCTATCTCTAAGAGTAAAAAACAACTCATCCATCTAAGCATTCTCATTTATGCAACACTTAGCTTAATAAGGACAACAAAATCCTAAACTTAAGGCTCATATTGAATTCATTTAAAACGGATTTTTCAATGATTTTAGACTCCCGAGAAATTTCATCATTGAAGATCATGCTTGTTGCGCTCCTGTTGATGTCCTTCTTGCACCAAATAATAGCAACTTTAAGCAGGCAGTAGTAGATGCATGTCAATTATGACTACATTACTTATTAACTCACTACAATTACTGGCTTTGATCAATAAGTTCTCTGGATGTGAAGACAATATGCCATCTCTTTGATCAATGAAATGTTTTAAAGTACTAAGGAAAATGTGATGGAAATGAGAAAAATATTCTTTTTTCAGATTTTTATCAGACCAAAAATGCAATCAAGTGCTTGATCAGTCTAAAACTCACTATCAAAAAGCCTTATATTATGGAGAAATTATTCTGCGCGGATATCGGACCATTCAAAGGTGAATCAGAATGCGACACATCACCCGGTACACAACGGTACACTGCAAACGGGTGACGTGGCGCATTTTGATTCGTATCCAGACAGTGTCTGTATCCGCACAGAATAATTTCATATATTATGATGTAATTAAAACATGATAATATCTATACATTCAAAAGATTTTGCAAAGCTCCCAAATGTAGACAAAACTTAGGTCAAGAAACACACTTTGGAAGATTTGCAATTGTGTTTTCTCCCAAAAGGTTTGTCAAAAGGAACAAATATGCAGTGGAAAAATGATTTCTGATTGCCGCTCTCTCTTTTTTATTGGCCGAGTTTTGGAATTTGCAAATGTAGATTCTTTCTACCAAAGAATGGCGCCTTTATAGTTTGCTTTCCAAGAGAGAGATTGATTTGCAAAATGAAAATCTCTTAGAAAAACCGAATACAGTTCTCAGGTTTCCTAAAAGAACTGAAACAAAATTTGAAAAACAAGCACAGCTTTGCTCTTACAGTTTCCAAAAGGAAAGAAAAATTTGGTGACTTAGAGCTGGTTAGCAACTAGAGAAGGTAATGAAAATTTGAGAACATTGAATGATTGGTTGTTTATTAATACAAAATTAAAGCTATGTCATTCTATATAATTTTAGGATTTTTATCAATTTTAGATGTTTAGAACATGTAGAATTAAGTGTATTATATATTAAACATTTTGATATTTTTTACCAACATCTTTGAAATTTGCACTCATGAGATGGTTCTAGTTATGCCTCCCTTGATTGGAAGGTAGTTAGTCCACACCATGGCTATTCCAATGGACTAACCTAGGCTAGCTTGAGTGGTTGACTAGGTTCTAATGATGGTGGCTTATTGGTGGATGCCTCTAATAATAACGTCTTAAATTGTCAAATGGAATATATCATTTTGGTGGTTTGTTTAATTATCCGAAGCATTCATGTGTTAAATTTAGGGCCACTAAAAATAATACGATGAACCATGATTTTTATAGTAAAGTATTTGTCTCTTGAGTGCAATATAATGTTTAAAAACTGCTCATTAATCAGAGGCCTATAAAAGGTTGTAGGAACTCTTGGAAGTTCATATATAAATGGATGAACCATACAAAATTCAAAACACTTTATTGTGATAAGCATGCACCATTCATCGAGGAAAGTCAGGGAGACTAGTTACATGATCCCTAATTAGTAATCGAGTAAGTTGCAGTGAGTCTTGTCGCCCTAATTGTGTGACCTCTCGCTTAATGGAAGGGAAACTTTTGATTTGAGCCAATTTGGCCAGTTTATGCCCCAAACTTGCTCAAATTTGAACATTTTACTTGTCATTTGGATCATTGTGACTAGAATGATATTCCTATTTTTCCGGATTTTAGATTTATTTAATCTTTAACATAATATTTGAAAGTTATGAGTTTATTTTTTAAGTGCTTTAAAATTTTAAATTTGCATCAATATTTTTGCTTTATTTAAAAGGAAATATGTAAAATTATCTTTTTGTTTATTATATATTTGTTAAAATGAAAGCATTACGAGGAACTTGCAGCGTGGAAATATATATATTGATTTTTCTTTCAAAAATACTTTAAGTTACTAGATGCATTTGAATGTGATATAAATTTTGAACTTATTGGAAGTCGAAATAGAACCCACGTAGGCTATAAACATGAGAATTTGATTTTTTTTTATCCCACGTAATGCTTTCATTTTGACAAATATCCCTCTTTATATTTTTACTTTTCATATATCATTCAAAATTATTTTTATACTTAAATACTATTAATAAGATCCTTACATTTTTATTTTGATATATATCATTCAAAATAATATATGGACAAATATTATTCAAAAAATGACTTAAAATAAATTATTGCGCTTAATTATAAGCCCCTTTAAATTTGTTGGTTCATGCTAGTTCGAATATGATTCAAAATCCTCATTGTCAAAATCCTCCATGACAATGAAGGCATGATAACGAAATATTACCATAGATGGCATAAATGATTGATGGGACTAGTAGTGTTCTTAAGACT